TGCTGCAATACAGAGAGGATCTGGTGCATTAATACATGAGTTACAAAACATTCAGATGAAGATACATCAGCTAATTAGGAATGACAACAGAATCATGGACTTCAGAGATAGCAAGACAGAATATAAGAATATGGAAATCTTCCTACAACTATACAGAACATTGGTTAGACCAACCCTACAGAATGGCAGATAGTTTTGATCTCCTTACTCAAGGAGTCAAGTATTTGTACTGGAGGCTATTAAGAAAATATATCTTGGGATGAACAGGCTATTTTGTGAAAAAAGGCTAATTGATAGAACCTTTACTCATTGGAGTTTAGAAGAATGAGAGGTGATCTTATTGGAATTTATAAAGTTTCTGAGGTAGCTTGACAGGGTAGACAAACTAATGAAGCTAGAGGCAGATAAGACCCCCGGCCCTGATGGCTTGCTTCCTAGGATCTTAAAAGAGATAACTACAGAGATAGTGGATGCATTGGCTATTATTTTCCAAAAAATCTTTGGATCTGGAGAGCACCAAAAGATTGGAAAATATGTGACACCCCATTCAAAAAGGGAGGAAGGCAAAATCCTGTCAATGACAGGCTTAGTCCAACATCTATTTTGGAGAAGTATTGGAATCAATTTTTAAGGAATTAATAGCAGAACATTTGGAAAAATCATCATCTAATCAGGCAGAGACAGTATGGTTTCATGAAAGGGAAACCATATCTGATTAATTTAGGGCTTTTGAGGAAGTCTATAATAGAACGGATAGAGGGGAACCAGTAGATGGTGTTGTATTTGAACATCCTGAAAGTGTTCAACAAAGTACCTCATGACAGATTAAATCATAAGAGCCCATGGTGTTCAAGGTAATATATTGCATGGACAGAGAATTGGCTAATAGTCAAAAAAAAATTGTGTGTGAATAAGGGGTGACCATGTGACTAATAGGTTTCAGAGCTCTGAGGAAGGGTCACCGGACCCGAAACGTTAACTCTGTTTTCTCCTTCACAGATGCTGCCAGACCTGCATAGCTTTTCCAGCAACTTTGTTTTTGTTCCTGATTTACAGCATCTGCAGTTCTTTTGGTTTTTATAAAATAAATGGAAAGGCAGGTTGTAAGAGGGACATTGATATTGATGGGGCAAATGGAGTATAATATGGGAAAATGTGAAGTTGTTCATTTCTGAATGGTGAACAAAAGAACAAAATATTATTTCAATGGAGAAAAAAACTTCAGAAAGTTGCAGTACAAAGGGACTTGAGAAAGGGGGTGGTAATTGTGCATGAAACACAGAAAGCTAGCACATAGGTGTGGTAGTTAATAATAAAGGCTAACTGAATGTTGGCCATTATTTCAAGAGGGTTGGATCATAAAAGTGGGAAGTCTTACTGCAACTGTACAAGGTGCCACTGAGACTATATCTAGAGCAGTTTTGGTCCCAGTATTTAAGGCAAGATATCATTTCATTGGAGGCAGTTCAGAGAAGGTTCACTAGGATGACCCCCGGTATGGAGGGACTGTCTTATGAGCAAAAGCTAAACAGGTTGGGATTCTGCTCACTAGAGTTTAGAAGAATGAGAGGTGGTCACATTGAAACATATATGATTCTTAACAATGGTAAATGCTGAAAGGATATTAACCCTTCATAGGAGAGTCTATGACCACAAGGCATAGTCTCAGAAAAAAGGGGTATGTATTTAGGACTGAGATGGGAAGGAATTCCTTCTCTCAGATGGTGGAGAGTCTATTAAACATCTTTCCATAGAAAGCTGTGAAGCAGAATTCTTGTATAGATTTTTGAACAATAAGGGAAGAAAGGGTTATATAGAAAAGGTAGAAAAGTGGACATGAAAAATGTCACCAGATCAGTCATGATCCTACTGAATGCTGGACCAGATGTGAGAGACCATACAGCCCACTTCTGATCACATTTCACATGGTCTTATGCTGAGAGGATGTTTTCCCTTGGCGGGTATCTGGAATGTGGGTACGGTTAAGAAAGTGTCTTCCATTTAACATCAACAGGAGGTGGAACATCTGGCAGAGACTCACGAGTCTTTGGAGTTATTTTCTATACAGAACAGCAGAGGCTGGGTCATTGAATTCATTCAAAGTCAAGTTAGATTCTCAACCTACATGGGAGTCAAAGGTTGGGAGAGGGGTGGGGAGATTAAGGGTAAAATAGAGCCAAGGCCGCAACGAGATTAGCCATGGTGCTATTGAATTGTGGAGAAGGTCAAGAGTCAGGATTATGCAACACTGAATCAAGCCCTTTGGCCCACTATCACTACATCAACAAACAAACACCAAAGTGCACTAATCCCATTTAAAATACACAAACACATCCCATTTACCTACACTTAATCCATAATAGACTATGTCTTGGAAATTTAAGGGCTCATTCAGATGCTTCTTACGTGTTGCAAGAGTACTTGCCTCCACCACCTTCTCAGGAAGCACATTCTATATTTCTACCACCCCCTGGGTGTAAAAGAATTCTTCTATCTCCCCTATAAACCTCTTACTCCTCACATTAAACTTATGCCCTCGGGTCTTAGACACATCTGCCATGAGGAAAAGATTCTCATGATTTACACTGTTCTGCCTCTACAATTTTATATACTTCAATCAGATTCACCACAAGTTCCTCTTCTCCAAGGAAAGCAAACCTAGCTTATCCAGTCTTTCCTCTCAACTGACACTTTTCATCCAGGCAACACCTTGCTGAATCTTTTCTGCACCCTCTCCAGAGCAGTCATATCCTTCAGATAGTGTGCTGACCTGCACACAGTATTCCATCCATTGCCTAACCAATGTTTTATAAAGTTGTAACAAGTCTTCACAATTCTATGTTCTACGCCTTAGCTAATGAAGCGAAGCATCCCATATGCTTTCTTTACTACCCAACTACTTGAGCTGATATAGAATCAGAATCCCTACAGTGTCGAAACAGGCCCTTCAGATGAACAAGTCCACACCGACCCTCACAGCATCCCACCCAGACCCATCCCCCTATAACACATCTAATCCACTCACTGAACACTATGGGCAATTTAGCATGGCCAATCCATGTAGCCTGCACATCTCTGGAATGTGGGAGGAAACCAGAGTACCCGGAGGAAACCCACGCAGACACGGGAGAATGTGCAAACTCCTCACAGACAGTCGCCTGAGAGTGAAATCGAACCCAGGACACTGGCGCTGTGAGGCAGCAGTGCTAGCCACTGAGCCATTGTGCCATCTGGGTGAGTGGCCTACATCTGCTCCTATTTCTCATGATCTATTAGTCAATGACAATTTGAAAAATTGAAATTCATTTCTGTATGCAAGGGAATGAAATGGGTAGAATCCAGTATGGTGGATGGAGATAAGGCACGATAAGCCATGACCTAATTGAATGGTGAAAAACCATGAGTCACAAAATTACCTACTTCTGTTCTTATTTGGTTGTGGCTAAAGCCTTTTGTAATATTTTTAGATATCCTACAATTGGATGAAGGAGTGGAAGGGTGGATGAGTTAGTTCGCGGACGATACGTTAGGTGGGTCATGTTGTGGACAGTGCGGAGGGCTGTTCTAGGCTACAAAGGGACATTGATAGAATGCAGAGCTGGGCTGAGAAGTGGCAGATAGAGTTTAACCCTGAAAAGTGTGAGGTGATTCATTTTGGAAGGAAAAACTTGAAAGCAGAATACAGGGTTAACGGAAAGATTCTTGGCAGTGTGGAGGAGCAGAGGGATCTCGGGGTTCATGTCCACAGTTCCCTGAAAGCTGCCACCCAGGTGGATAGAGTTGTTAAGAAGGCGTATGGTGTGTTGGCTTTCATTAATAGAGGGATTGAGTTCAAGAGCCGTGAAGTTATGCTCCAGCTGTACAAAAGCCTGGTTCGACCACATCTGGAGTATTGTGTCCAGCTTTGGTTGCCTCATCACAGGAAAGATGTGGAAGTGTTAGAAAAGGTGCAGAGGAGATGTACCAGGATGTTGCCTGGAATGGAGGGAAGGTCTTACGAGGAAAGGTTGAGAGAGCTAGGGCTTTTCTCTTTAGAACGACGAAGGACGAGAGGTGACTTGATACAGATGTACAAAATGATCAGAGGTATAGATAGAGTGGACAGCCAGAGACTTTTTCCTAGGGTGGAGGTAGCTATTACGAGGGGGCATAGTTTTAAAGTGAGTGGAGGTAGATATAGGGGAGACGTCAGAGGTAGGTTCTTTACTCAGAGTGTGGTCGGGGCGTGGAATGCATTGCCGGAGAGGGGAGTGGAGTTGGCCTCCTTAGGGGCATTTAAGCAGCTATTAGATAGGCATATGGATGATATTATAAGGTAGGGGTGGAGTTTAGATAGACCTTAGGATTAGGGTAAAAGTTCGGAACAAAATTGTGGGCTGAAGGGCCAGTACTGTGCTGTACTATTCTATGTTCTATGTTCTAATTCTGTGACCACCATTATAATGATGCACCTTTCCAGCAATTTCTGGCCCTGTAAAGTTTAATTTACCTTCAGAATATGCTTTATATCATATGTGTAACATTTACTTTTCAAAAGGAGTGTAAAGTAGCTCACATTGTTGACACAATGTTTTAAAACCCTATAAAACTACAGATGAATAATATTTGTGATAGCAAAAACCTTAATTTATATATTTTAATACATGGCGATGATGCAATGCCTACAATGCATGGACCAGACATTCCAAAAAGCAACTTATGTAGGAGGGACTTTTGGTCCTCTATGCCCTTCTGCAAGATTCCAATAACAGGGTCATTTAACCAGATGAAAAACAAGCTATCGAAATGCCCTGAACAAAAGTTGATGTTGATTACAACTATGTCATCAAAATATCCCCTTTCCTAAATTCAGGCCATAATTTGCACCACTTAGTAAAGCTGAATACACTCAAAGAAAAATGTATTTAAAATACTTATATTTAAAAATAAATCACCAGAAATTTATCAGAAAGTCTGGACTGGTTGTTGTGCAAAGCAAATAGTTTTCTGAAGCCACTCACCGTTCAAAAATGTGTCTCCCAACTTCAGCATCGACGGCACTGAGGGGGTCATCAAGCAAGTAGATATCAGCATCCTGATACACAGATCTTTTGGAAAAGCAACATATTAAGTTGAAAAAAGCTTTTATTTTTCTTCTTATCATCTTTATGAACATAATTCTCACAACAAATGCTTCACTTCAGTCTTAAGATTCTAGCAGGGATTCTATGATTCTATGAAGGTCAATTTAGTATAAATTACCAATTTTGTAATCTTTAAGGCGTCACGAAGATCATCTTCTCAATTAAAATTATTCATTACACTCTGCATTTTGGCAGAGGAATCAGAGGTAACATCAAATGCGAAAGGTTAATTATGCATCAAGTCATGATAATCTGGAATAAAGTGTTGAAACTGCAATGAAACCACATTGAATAGTGACTTTCTAAAGGGAACTGAATAAATAATTGCAAGTGAAGAAACTAACAGGACAAACTGTCTGGCACTAAGATACTTTGAGGAATGACTTGCATTTATATAATACCTCAGGACAGCCAAAGCCACATTGCTGACAATTAGACATAGAACAGAGAACAGTACAGCACAGTACAGGCCCTTCGGCCTACGATGTTGTGCCGACCTATTATCCTACTCAAAGATCAAACTAACCTGTATACCCTTCATTTTACTATCATCCATGTGCCTACCTAAGAGTCACTTAAATGTCCCTAATGTATCTGACAATACTACCACTGGTGGCAGTGCATTCCATGCACCCACCATTCTCTGTGTAAAGAACCTATCTCTGACGTCTCCCCTATACCTTCTTCCAATCACCTTAAAATTATGCACCCTTGTGATAGCCATTTCCGCCGTGGGGAGAAGGTGTCTGACTATCCACTCTGTCTATGCCTGTCATCATCTTGTACACCTCTATCAAGTCACCACTCAATCCTTCACTCCAACGAGAAAAGCCCTAGCTCCCTCAACCTTTTCTCATAAGATCTGCCCTCCAGTCCAGGTAGCATCCTGGTAAATCTCCTCTGCACCCTCTCTAAAGCTTCCACATCCTTCCTATAGTGAGGCGACCAGAACTGAACACAATATTCCAAGTGTGGTCTGACCAGGGTTTTATAGAGCTACAGCATAACCTCGCAACTCTTAAACTCAATCCCCCTGCCAATGAAAGCCAACACACCATACGCCTTCTTAACAACCCTATCAATTTGGGTGACAACTTTGAGGGATCTGTGGACATGGACTCCAAGGTCCCTCTGTTCCTCCGCACTGCCAAGAATCCTGCCATTAACCCTGTTTTCTGCATTCAAATTCGACCTTCCAAAGTGAATCACTTCACACTTCTCCAGGTTGAATTCCATCTGCCACTTCTTTGCCCAGCTCTGCATCCTGTCAATGTCCCATTGCAACCTACAACAGCCCTTCACACGATCCACAACTCCACCAACCTTCGTGTCATTAGCAAACTTACTAACCCACTCTTCCACTTCCTCATCCAAGTCATTTATAAAGATCACAAAGAGCAGAGGTCCCAGAACAGATCCCTGCAGAACACCACTGGTCACCCAGCTCCAGGCTGAATACTTTTCATCGACTACCTCCCTCTGTCTTCTATTGGACTGCCAATTCTGTATCCAGACAGCCAAAGTTTCCTGAATCCCATGCCTCCTTACTTTCTGAATGAGCCTACCATGGGGAACCTTATCAAATGCCTTGCGAAAATCTATACACACCACATCCACTGCTTTACCTTCATCAATGTGTTTTGTCACATCCTCAAAGAATTCAATAAGGCTTGTGAGGCTTGACCTGCCCTTCACAAAGCCATGCTGACTGTCTCAAATCAAACTATGCTTTTCCAAATAATCATAAATACTATCTCTGAGAATCCTCTCCAATAATTTGCCCAGCACAGAAGAAAGACTGACTGGTCTGTAATTCCCAGGGTTATCCCTATTTCCTTTCTTGAACAAGGGAATGACATTTGCCACCCTCCAATCATCTGGTACTACTCCAGTGGACAGTGATGACACAAAAATTACTGCCAATGACGCAGCAATCTCATCCCTCACTTACCGTAGAACCTTGGATATATCCTGTCTGGCCGAGGGGACTTATCTATCCTCATGTTTTTCAAAATTTCTAGCACATCCTCCTTCCTAACATCAACCTATTCAAGCATATCAGCCTGTTTCACACTGTCCTTACAAACTACAAGGTCTCTCTCACTTGTGAATACTGAAGCAAACTATTCATTAAGGACCTCCCCTACTTCCTTCGACTCCAGGCACAAATTCCCTCCACGATCCCTGATCTGCCCTACCCTCACTCTGGACATCTCTTGTTCCTCAAGTAAGTATAGAATACCTTGGGGTTTTCCTTAATCCTACCAACCATGGCTTTTTCATACCCGCTTCCAGCTCTCCTTAAGTCCATTCTTTAGTTCCTTCCTGGCTACCTTGTAATCCTCTAGAGCCCTGTTCGATCCTTGCTTCCTCAACCTTAAGTAAGCTTCCTTCTTCCACTTGACTCTATGTTCCACATGTCTTGTCATTCAGGGTTCCTTCACCTTACCATCCCTTCCTTGCCTCAGTCCACATTTCTGTCGTGCATTTCCCTGAGAACATCTGTTCCCAATTTATGCTCCGCAGTTCCTGCCTAATAGCATTGTAATTCCCCCTCCCCCAATTTAATACTTCCCATACCGTCTGCTCCTATCCCTCTCCATGACTATAGTAAAGGTCAGGGAGTTGTGATCACTATCACCGAAATGCTCTCCCACCGAGAGAGCTGGCCTTGTTCATTGCCAAGCACCAAATCGAATATGGCCTCCCCTCTGGTCGGCCTATCTAGACATTGAGTCAGGAATCCTTCCTAGACACACCTGACAAAATCTGCTCCCTCCAAACTATTTGCACTAAGGAGGTTCCAGTCGATAGTAGGGAAGTTGAAGTCACCCATGACACCAACCCTTTTACTTCTGCACATTTCCAAAATCTGCCTCCCAATCTGTTCCTCAGTGTCGCTGTTGCTATTGGTGGGGCGTCTATAGAAAACTCCCAATAAAGTGACTGCTTCTTTCCTGTTTCTGACTTCCACCCGTACTGACTCAGTAGACAAACCCTCCCGAACGACATCCCTTTCTGCAGCTGTGATTAGCAATTCCACTCCCCCACCTCTTTTACATCCTAACCTATTTCTTTTGAAACATCTGAACGTCGGAGCATCCAACAACCATTCCTGCCCCAATGATATCCAAGTCTCCATAATGGCCACAACATCATAGCTCCAAGTACTGATCCATGCTCTAAGTTCATTACCCTTATTCATGACACATTTCGTGTTAAAATAGACACTTCAACCTGTCACAGTGACTGCAACTTTGCCCTATCACCTGTCTATCCTTCCTCACAGACTCTCTGCATGCTGTATCTGCCTGTACACCAGCTACCCCAACCTCTGATCCGTAGCTCCAGGTCCCATCCTCCTGCCAAACTAGTTTAAACACTCCGGAGAGCTCAAGCAAACCTCCTGCCTAGGATATTGGTGCCCCTCCAGTTCAGGTGCAACCCGTCCTTCTTGTACAAGTCCCACCTTCCCCAGGTTTGAGGTTTAGACCCTATACAATGTGGGAAAAGTGGCACCAAACCCCCACAAATAGAACTGTGACAAAGTCCAGAATTTTTTTTAAAAGTGATCATAGAATTCCGACAGTATGGAAATCAGCCATTCAGCCCATCAAGTTTGCATCGATCTGCCGAAGAGCATCTCACCCAGACCTGCCACCCACCCTATCTTGGTAACCCTCTATTTACCATGGCTAATCCACCTAATCTGCACATCCTTGGACACTACGGGGCAATTTAGCATTGTCAATCCACCTAAACTGCACATCTTTGGGCTGTTGGAGGAAATTCGGAACACCTGGAGGAAACCTATACAGATACAGTGAAAACGTGCAAACTCCACACAGTCACTGAAGGCTAGAATCAAACTCAGATCCCTGGTACTGTGAGGCAGCAGTGCTAACCACTGTGCCACCAATGTTGATTGGCCAAATCAACAGGAGCAATCCTCCAGCTCTTCTTTGCAATAGTACCGTGGAACCTATTACATACATTGCAGGGAGCAGAAAATGTCTCAGCTTAACTTCTCATGCAAAATACACTTCCGCAGTCCTGAGGTAGCACAGCTTTTAGATTATGGGAAATGTTTATAAATGGAGGGATTGTTTGACTATATGTTAGATGGCTCCTTGAGATGCTGAATGAAAAATCGATGTGTCTCCCACAACAAATCATACAGCACAGTTTGATGTGCTCTACGATCTGAGATCACAAATCACTCATTGAATAATCCTTCATCTTCCAGTTGTGGAAGTGGCCAGGGCTGTGCAGACTGGAGTTCAGGAGGCAGGTTTCACAAGGAGGTAAGGTGGAACCAAACATCAGGGAGACGTTTGAGAGAGAAGTACATTGAGGCATTCTAATTTTTTGACTTGCCTGTACCTTGACTTGTTCTAGCTGCAATGTGGTTGAAGAACTCATTTATAGAGCCAAGTTAGACCTGCTGTTAAGTTCTATAGCTGCCTGGACCACACTGAGGAAGCTCCTGAACACTACTGGGATTTTTGTTTTCCACTCATGGGACGTTGGTGTCACTGACTGCCCTGCATTTATTGCCCATCCCTAGTTGCCCTTGAGAACGTGGTTTTGAGCTGCCTTCTTGAACCACTGCAATCTATATGCTGTAGGTTGACCCACATTGCCCTTCCAGGATTTTTGCTAACTATTGCACAATGTTCATCAGCATCTGCGAACATCCCTTCTTCTGACCTTATGATGGAGAGATCATTGATGAAGCAGCTGAAGATGGTTGCGCCTACGACCATACCCTGAAGAACTCCTGCAGAGATGTCCCAGAGCTGAGATGACTAACCTCCAACCTTATTCCTATGTGCCAGGTATGGCTCCAACCAAGAGATTTTGCCTTCTGAAATCAACCGATTCATTTTTGCCAGGACTCTGTGATGTAAATGTGGCCTTGATGTCAAGGGCTGTCACTCTCACCTCACCTCTGGAATTAAGCTGTTTTGTCCATATTAGAATCAAGGTTGTAATGAGGTCAGGTGCTGAATATCCTTAGCGGATCTATAACCCAGCATCACCGAGTAGGAGATAGTAGGAACTGCAGATGCTGGAGAATCTGAGATAACAAGATGTAGAGCTGGATGAACACAGCAGGCCAAGCAGCATCAGAGGAGCAGGAAGGCTGACGTTTCGGGCCTAGACC